TTTGCCCTTCAAATCTTCTCCAAAGTTTTAGAATTACTCTGTAATTGATGTGGAGAATCAATGGAGTAGATGGCCCCCTCCAGGGGACATTTCAGAGGGTCAGAGAAGGGGAAATATTTGTCTTAAACTACACAGTGAGCCTAAGCAGAACCAAGCTACTAAATTCTCCTTTCCAATCAAGTTCATACAGTTGTGTGAAAATAATCTATTTTCTATTATGTGGCTTTAATAGGTCTGCAGATTAAAAGCCATGTTTTTATTAGCTCTCAGGAACCCCAAATGCTACAGGGACTTAAACACATGAAAATAACTTTAACCAAAAATGTATTTCTTCAAACAAGTAAATTGATGTCTATGTGACAGCTTTGCCAGATCAAGCCATGCTTTTTGTATTCTTTCATTTCTAGAATTTTACAGGTTTGGAAAGTATTTTCATAAAATTTGCCCAGTATCATTGGGATCCAAATATAGAAGTCATACTGAGTAGTTGATAGTGGTAGGATATAACAGGAAAGACAAGGCTGTCATGTAGTCATCAAGGTGGCAGAATCCTGATCATGATATATGAAAGGTTCTAACTTTTCTCTAGAGATTAACATTTACCTTTTAACTAGCATGTTAGTCTAATGTAGCTCCTTCAGGGAGCCATTTACAAAGCCTATGTATGGAATCTTGAATTAATATTGAAAGGTTTGGTTTACATATTTAAAAAAATTTAATAATATATTGTTACGGACTGCTTGAAAGCTGTTTCAGACCACAGTGTTCCTTGCAGAAACACTTGAATGTTGCAGATTTTTATAGTGGCCTCTTACATTTTAAGATAGTCATCATCTGTTAGCTGTATCATTGAGGCATATTCTGTGTAACTATAGAGTAATTTATGAACAAAATTGTTTATAGGATAGTATGGAACTTGAACTGAAGGTAGGAGTCTGTGTCTTTATGTTGAAAGATTGATTTACTTAATTACAAACTATAGTGAAGGACAGGAAATGCTCTCAGTTCAGATATGCACTTGCTTCATAAATAGCGTGGGTCTTTTGAGTCAAATTTTCGAAAAGCGTTATATTGACTATAATTGGAGAAGCTGTTTTATATCCTATATATGTTTAACATAGCTTTGAAATATCTTTGTAAGACTATAAGATCTAGTTTGTCTTCATATAGTTTTTAAAGTGAGTTAAAAGTTTTTGTTCAATACTTGTGCCCATATATATTCTTCATCCACTTTAAGTTAAGATACTGTAAGTTAGTTAACCGTTCAACTGTATATTAATAGATAATTGTATTTAATTTCATCTGTTGTTTTTCATGCAAGATAACTTGGAGTTAGATACAAAGCAAAAAAAAAAAATTTATTGGATTGTAGACATGCAGTAACTGATTTACTTTATTTCCAGTATAGGAAATAGATACAATTATTTTTAATTTTTTATTTTTTACATAATTTTGTATCCTGCAATATATGTTCTTTAGGCAGTGCTTTCTATTTAAATGTTCAGTCTTTAACATTTTTAAAGGTTTGGCACTTCCAAATTAAAAATATGTATATATGAGAAAGGAAGCCATATAGAGTAGTTCCATTTTAACTATGGATTTTATTTTTTTGCAAATGACAAGGGTCATATTGGGGCTCCACTTGCACTCTTACTTGTAGCAATTTCATGTGTTTTTGAATGTAAAAGTAACATATTTAGATTTTTACAATGATTTGTAATAGGGTTGTTCTGTAAATCCTTTTTTGCAGGAACGATGCTGCTATCTTTATATCATACTTTAGTTATCCAGCTAGCAAGCTGAGTCAGTAGTGACAATCACTTTGAGTTTCAAAACCCATGGCTACTTCTACAGCACTTTAAGTGCTTTATGGGAGATATCTACTGAGGGTTAGAAAGACAGTTACTTGCTACATTTCTCCAGTTACTGAGAAAAAACTACAATATCAAAATCCTAACAATTAAAGATGGCGAAGGGGGGATTTCTTTCTAACACTTAAGGATTATGGGAACAAGGGAGGGAATGAAGTGATACTAAGAATTCAGCAGAGCAGTACACAGAACACAGCTGTTTAACTTCCTGATCAAATAATGACCAACTGTACAGATGGCCACACAAAAAATTACACAGTGCACAAAAGTAATATTAACATTGCTAAGTCATCTGTGTGTTCTTTGTTCTGTTCCGTTATATAAAGGTTTATGAAAGACTTTTTAATTAAATAATCAATCTTATGTGATTTCTCCTTTATGAACCTTCTGTGTTCATTTAACATTATGGACCTGCTCTGGAAATGAATCAAGGTTGTATTACTAGAGGCTATTGTCTCTTAAACCTTGGTCTCATTTGTTGCAGACTTGGAGGATGTACAGCAAATGAGGCAGGGAGCCTTAAGAAGATAAGAATGGTCCTGGGATATAAGCAGCTGAAAGTGCCCTGGAGAAGTGTATTCTATTTATCCTTCTGCAGTAGAAATGTTTGTGTGATTCTATGCAATTTACTTAATTTGGCCTTTCCACAGTGTCCATTTCCTAAGAGCCCATTATATGTATTTCATGATTTTTGGAAGTGTAGAACAGCTACAGAAATAGATAAGTGGACTGAAGTAATTTGAAGCAATGGTCTGACTATCTGAAAAAATAAGGCTATAGACATATCAAACTGATCTTCTGAAATTAGGTGATAATTTTATAGCATCATTCTCTTGTCTGTGGAAGGAGACTTTTCCTGTCTCCTTACCTCCATAAAACCAGAAAACCATCCTTGTGAAATTCTCTGAGGCTGTGTGATTAGAGGAGCTGGGAAGAAGTGAGTTTTATACCCAGTGAAAGCCGGCAGCTATCAAATAATTTCTCATGAGAAATGGGTGCAAAAAAATGCAGCTGAAATCTGACGCACATCAGATGGTAATTACATATTGAGTAGCATCTCTTCAATGAATGCTGTCCTTTATAAGCAAGACATGAGGTTAAGAGTTCTTTGCAAAAAGCAAAAGAGAAAATACAGTATTTTAGTCCACTAACAGAAAGAGGACAAATTAAAATTACATGAGGAACGTTAATTTTGACACTTCTTACCTTCTGAGTTCTTAAGCTTGCAACCTTGATGTTCTTTTAAAGTACAACTTTACTGTGATCTTCTATATATTTTTTAATAGAAGTAAACAAAAATAAGAAATTCCAGCAAGTCCAGCTGAGTTTCATCAGTGTTTAGACATGTCACATTTTACTGGTGAGTTTAATATTGATTTTTCTGATCACAGAAGAACATGGAAGAATCAAGCATTTTCAGTTCTCTTTTGGAGTATACTCGTGATCTTTCTTCAGCTTGTCTTCATCACAGCATCTTCTGCCCTATATTGACTGCTAATCTCCACTCCCAATGCTTTATCCTGTGAATTTTGACTGAAGCTCTTCCTTTACCTTTTTTATATGTTTGAGTGCCAGCAGGGACTGGGGTTTAATGTTACAGATTAACAGTTTGCCTATTCCAGTACCATTAAAAATTCAGCAACCTGAAGCAATTGGCTTGATCACACTGGGCATATACAGAAAATTTAGAATATAGCTGCTACTGTTACACACAGATCTTCTTTTCAACAGTCTTGGGTAACGTAGTTAGCGTTTTTATAATACCTTATTTTCCATCTGCCTACTGGAATACTGACAATGAAAATATTCTTTTGGGGGTTGGTTCAGAAGTTTCAGGGCACAGTAATTTAACATGCAAGAATCTATACCATTTAATTGAACTGCACATTTGTGTGAAGTCACTTGTGCTAAAGTATTTTCAGGATTAAGACTTGTAAACACATTATACACTATCACAATTTCTCTAGGTGTTTTAAATTTAGTTAGCAATGATGAATGTTCAGTTTTCAACAGAAGCAAAACTTGATTAAGAAGACTCAGTTCAGGGGATAGAGCAGTGAATTTTAGTTGAGACGAAGAAGCAAATTTTCACTATTTCTTACTTGCACTTAATGTGCTGTATTAGAATTACTTAGGCTGTGTTTTTCATCAAAGTTAATTTAGTAAGCACAGCCTGTCAGAAGCAGACAAATAACCTTACTGTATGCAAGATTATAAAGTATGTCTGCAATGATAGTCAACACTGACTTAGAGAAACGTGAAACCTCTATTAACTCTTTGCTTAGACGGTAATCCTTAATTCAAGTCCAGCCTGCGTCTGCAAATATCCAAAACGTAGACTGATCTTTTGGGAAATATTGTCACTGCTTTCACCCGAGTTTACCCTTTCTGGGAATACTGTTAGAAATTAACCACACTGTAGGCTTCAAGAAGACGTCAGCCAGTCAGTTTTGGATTTGTCTCTTCCTTCCCCTTCACCATTTGTCTTCTGGGCAAAGAGGTCCCCACAAAAACAGATTAGAAAGTACCCTTTACGAATACATAGACAAATACTTAGATGCCACTGAGCTTATACACTGTGATGCAAATGTGTGTTGTGTGTGTTGCAAATGCTTCTGTCCTTTTGCAGGGACAGGATGGGACTCTTAAGGATAATTCTCAATACCGCATTAAGATTACTGGGAAACAAAAAACATGTTTATAATATCTGATATGGAATTTTATACATTAAGAAATTATTTATATTTATGAAATTTGAGCAAAGAAAAGGTGTTATACAAGAACTTGACACTGGTGTTTCATGACTTTTGAATGCTTTCTTTGTATTAGGTTTTATTATGTAAAATTTAAGATGCAAAGTAATTTAGATTAAGCTTAATATTTTTTCTTTTTGAAAGGCAATGAGAAAGTTCAAAAACTTTTGATGGCATGGCAGCAAATCATTTATTTTGAAGTGTTTCCTTTCTGGTTGACGTTATAGTTTTGAAGCATTCAAGTGGCAATATGATGCTATGTGAATGCCTTTAATCATCTCGAAGAAAAAATATGCACATACTCTGCACTGTAGGAAGTAAGATCTGTTTCTGTCCCCTCCAGTGAGATTTATCAGCTTTTTTATTTGTTCTGCAGGGGTTGTTCAGAACTTTGTCGTATACCCATGGTGGAATACAAACTTGACAGTGAAGGCACCCCATGTGAGTATAAAACCCCTTTCAGAAGGAATACTACTTGGCATCGGGTGCCGACTCCCGCTGGGCAGCCTCTCTCTCGTGCCTCTCCAATCCTAGGAACATCTGACAGACTGCAGTGCCAGCAGCTTCTCCAGCAGGCTCAGACAGCCATTCCTCGCAGCACTTCCTTCGATAGAAAACTGCCAGATGGTGCAAGGTAATATGCTCTCCATTTAATTCCTGTCATTTCTCTAATGTGCCTTACTCAGATATCTCTATTTTCTAGACCTTTGGAATGCATACTTCTAAAATCTTTTTTTGAATGTTCATGTTATTTTGTTGAGTGTAAATAGAAATTTTAATTCTGAGGTTGTGTGAAAGTAAATTCTCTGATCATGACTCCCTCTACTTGGAATAAATGACTTTAGTTGTTTGTGATGAAACTGTACTGTATGCAGGATCCTAACGATGAGGACAGCTAACCTTTCCCCTTCATTTCCAAATCAATAAAGAGGGAAACTGGCTTGTTACTTTTTCATCTAAACAATGTACTGTCCTCCATCTTTTGGGAGCATATTTAAACAAATAGTGAGTGTGAATAAAATGAACTCATCCCTTTAAAGAGGAATGTTTTAGTCTCATTACCACGCTACTGGCATCGTTTCAAAGGGTTCTGTAACTCATTACCAGTCCTTATGCTTTGCTTTGCTTTTAATTAAACAAAGCAGAGTCTGTGATTTGAATAAATAACACCTCTTAGATGATGGGATGGTATCTTCAAATGTTAGGTCTGTTCTAATTTAATCATATTCCTTCTTAAGGGAACCTTTTTTTTTTTTTTTTAAACTTTACAATTTCTATGTACATCTGACCTCTGAATTATTTAGGAAAACCATGTGTCTTGAATAGAACTCTCTGTCCTTTAATTTACTCTTCATTGTTTGCAATTATTTCTGCTTATGCCCTTTTCTCTGAAATCATATAGTTCTTCTAGTCTCCAAGGTAAAAATATTGCTTATCTGAATATAAAATATAAAATCCAAATATTAGTCTTAACTTATTTTTAAAAATTCTGCCTGAAAGCATGCCATTGCTACACTACCTACCTAGTTTAGTAGAAAACAATCAGTGATTTTTCAGACTTTGCTTGAAAAATATACAGTTACCAGTAACAAATCTTTGAAAATACATCTGTATCATGGACAAAGACCATCCCTTGTCATAAAGAAATTCTTGTATCACTTAAACAAAACAAATGCAACGCAAAATTGCTATTTGAGGAAGACGTGGTATGGAGTATAAATAATGAAAAGGGAGGAGAATGATGTACCGTGACATGTGGGTCTTGAAACATGAAAGGCAAGATCTTGAAATTGGCAAGCTCTTTCTACATGAGAAGAGGCATAGTAGATGGCTTGAAGTGTAAAATAAGGTTGATTACAGATAGTCTTGTGAGGGTGAAAATGTGTACTCAGACTAGGAAAATGATGAAGAGATTTTAGAAGGGTCAGAGACCCTTAGACAAACTGAAGAGGAGTGCAAACAGGGAAAAGCAGGGAGATAAAACTAGGAAGTTACAGCAACTGATCTGAAAATGAACTAACCGTGAAGTTGGTGATAAAATGGGTATTTTCAGAGATAAAAAGAGGAAGAAGCAAGAGACCTGTGGGCTAGTAGAAGATTTAAGCAGCAGTTGTTTAACTACTGTAATGCCTTTCAGTTAGGTGCCCAGTCTCTGGAGTGAAATCAAAAGCTGAGAGCTGAACACCTAAACTCCTAGTACAGCTCCTGGGGAGAGTTAAGTGCTTTGAGAATGCAAGCCAAACGTTCTTGTGCTGACCAAGGAGTTTCATATAATTAGTTGACAGGAAATGTCAGGATATCTTTGAACTCTACTCCTGTTTTTACAAAATGCCTAATTCTGTGACAGCTTCTCAGTGAATGCCTGAGTCAAGCTTCAGTCAGATTCACTTCTCTGGCTTTTCACACCAAGAGGTCTCCGTGTACTTTTGTGCTTGAATCAGAGTTGTAGGCGAGTGTGTCTGTTCACCTGGAGTCCAGAATCCATTCCGGAGAACAGACAGCTGCAACTGTTCTGTAAAGGAACTGTGTGCGGCGTCCTCTGACGAGCTGCCTGTGGTTTTAAAAGGAAATTTTTGTAGCTGCCTTTTATATAGTAGGCTAATGGCTAGACTCTTGTCTGGGAAATGGAAGACTTGGAATCTAGACATTCCTCAGCCTGAGATAGTACAAACCAATGTCTCCATTTTGAATACTGTGTCTCAGTCTAGAGGCTGGATAGGGATGGGATCATCTTTTATCCATTCCTGGAAGTTGGATGATTTAAGTTGTGCAGGAAGAGATGCAGAGTTCTTGGTGATTAGAAGCAACAACACACAACTGAGCTCAAATGTAGCCTGTAGACTAATTCACCTGACTGTGAGACACTCAGTCCTGTCCATCCTTATTAGAGAGGAACACACACAAGAGTTAAGTATTGCTCCATCTACTTATTGTATAAGTGTTGGCTGTTAGACAAAATGCAATAGCAAGTGTCTTGGAGATTTTCAAGCTGAACAGTAAAAGTGCTTATTGAATGTCATGTCCTTGAGCAAAGGTAGCGCATAAATCCAAAACTACCTCTTTCCAAGTCTTACCTGAGTGTGCAAATTCATTTCTATATATTAGCCTTAAAAAAAAAAAAGAAAAAAAAAAGGGGGAAATACAAGGAATTCAAGATAATATACCTGAGGAAGGAAATTAGATTGTAGAGTTCTGGACTGATATGCACAGAAGTGAAGGAAAGGAGTGCGATCAAGAAAAAATTCGAACGTTATATTTCAGCTATCTGAAAATCCAGGGAGAATAATTGTGGAGAAATTGTAAAGATATAAGACTCAAATTGTAAATATTAGGCACAAAATAACAGTATTCATGAAACTGTTTTCATATTATTCTTCTCTGTCAAAGATTATTAGAACAAAATATAAGTATCGGTTGTGCCTCTTCTAAATTATTATGTTCAAAATTAGAATACATACAAAGAAACTAATAATTACTTCTGATTCACCACAAGAGATTCTCACATATAAATTTTGAGGCCTAATCCAGCTCTTGTGACTCATGAGTAATCCCACTTGTTCAGAAGTAAAGGTAGAAATAAGGAAAGTAGAATTTGGCCATCAGTCTCTATCTTTTTGTCCTTTTAAAGTTTATTCCCTTTTAAAAATTTTTATTTGGAAACATTTTGTTAATAATGAAATAAATAATGTAGTTTAAAAACTACTTAAACGATAGGAAACTAAGTTATAACTGTAAATTCCCCAAATTAATATACATTAAGTATTCATACTGCATCTATATGACTCATTTTTAATTGTAAACATGAATTTATTTGTCTAAAAGAAACACAGCCCAGTTCAATTCTGAAACTCCACAAATACCTCAGTGCACTGTTAATGATTCTAGTCAACATTACAGAAGTTCACCGAGCAACCAGTCTTCCTCCAGTGACCCAGGACCCAGCGGGAGTAGCCAGTGGAGACAGCAAGTGGGATATGACGGGTATTGATGATTTTATATCTTGCTGCAGCTCCCATGCATCATCTTTCTGAAGCAAAAATTGTGTGCCTGCTATATATCAAAGACTAATTTGCAAAGGCTATTAGTAAACTTTAAGAAGCACAGGTTTACCAATCCTTAATGTAATGTGTGTGCCGATATAATTTTAAAACTATACTACCAAACTCTTTAGAACCAAAGAGTTATTTTACATTCCAGGTAAATAACATGCAGTGCTTTCTCAAGAACAAGACACAAATCAGCTTAGTAACTCAGAACCGGAATAAAATGATCATTTCTCCTCCTCTTGCTTCAGTGGAAGGGTAATTGATCCTTCTGTTACAAGACTGTATTTCCTACTGTGCTTGTTCCAGGGGCCTCCACTTCTGCTTCAGAAAAGTAGCAATATTTCTGAGATCTCTTCTCCTTATCAAGCTGTTGCAGTATACAGATGGTTCTTTGCAATCCCTGTTAATCCCTTGATGCTGAAGGTTTCAGAAGTTAGCTATTTGTGAATAAAAGAACACCCCAATATACTGTACATGTTTTAAGAATATTATATGAGAAATCTGTTCTTGATTACTTTAAATGTATTACTTTATGGTACAAATATAGCTGCTGAAAACACTTCTGTTACAAGATGCTGAGATACGGCAGTATCTACATAGCATAGTCTAAAAGCACTCCAGACTTGCCAGTTGGCTTTTTGAAGCTTTTATGAAAAAATATGAATATTGAAAACATCATTTTGACTCTTTGTCTGTAAGGAGGATATTGCTTTGGCATGTATGTTTGTGTGTAAAATAACCCATGTAGCAGATATATTTTGGATCCACCTCAATGAATTTCAGATTATTCACTCAAACCTCTGGCAGCTGGATAGGTGTTAATAATTCAAATAAAACTGTAGCAGTTTTTGGAACAGGAAACATGAAAATTCATCTGGTTTTGCAGTACAGTAATTACTAATAGCAGCCTTGTTTTTAGTGTGTTGCTTTGTGAAATATTTTACCTTCTGCAATGTGTACCTGATAATTTGGAGCTCATATTATAAGATTTGAAGAATCTCACATAATTTTTAATTCTGAAGTAACTGGAGGCATCATTTATAATTTTAAGTAAAAATGGCAGAAAACCAAAGCAATGGATCTAGTATCAGCTTGCATACATGTTTTGAATGTGAAATCCTGCAATAACATGCACAGTCATTTTCGGTGGGGTTTGGTTTATGAAGCAGTTAAGCTTGCATTTCCATAATTTCCTCACTGCAAAAAGCTTTGCTTGTGTAACCCCAAGCTTAACAACTTCTTAAAGTTTAGTGTCCTTTGGTCCATTCACACTTAAGACACAACAGTGTGCTGTTGAGAAAATTGTATGTAAATATTTCTGTTCTGTGTTTGGAAATGTGACTAGGTTGGCGGGAGGGATGATGATTGTTTAGCCACAGAATATTTGCTTTGAAGAGTTAAAAATGATGTTGTTCATCATGTAACTAGTTTCCTAGAAAAAAACCCAAACAGCTTAATTTTCTGTTTGTGTTAAAAGGTGCCAATCCCCTTTACTTCATGAACACCAAGGTTCAGGTTCACTGGACTGTGAAGGAGTCAGAGAACGAGAGGAAACTCTGGAAGGAACTAGACATTCAGGTAATAATAAATACAATATCTTAAAAATATTTTTTATAATGCAGTACCAGTATCAATATGAGAAGTGCAGCCGCTTCTGATGTGGAGATTTGATAACCAAACAGTACGTAATGTGACAGTGAAAGTAGGGACTGTTAGGACAGTCTAACAGAAGATGCTGTGGGTTGTTTAGATAATGCTTGAAATAAACTACCTCTGAACTTCTGAAAGCCTCTCGAATTATGGAAAGCAGGTTGAACTCTGTTTGATTATCATTGAAAAGCTAGATCTTAGGAAATTCTGCAAAGATATTCATCTCTGATTCCAAAGAGCGTACAGGTTTCAAACCTGATGTTTAAAGCACTAAGCCATGTGCCTTTTTTCTTTGTACAGTATACTCATCTTTTTAGCAGTCAGAAATTAAAACACAATTATTTATGGCAGAAACCAAGTGGCATGCACCATCGACCAAAGTCCTGAGTTCCTACAAAGACCGAGCTTTACAAAAAGAAGGCAGTGTCAAGGACTCGCCAAACAAACTTTCACATGTAAGTCTTTTTACTTGGATGTCATTCAAAATCTGGACTTGAAGAAACACATCTTAAAAATATATGTTGATCATTTAGGAAAGGCAGTGCAGGCTTTGGGAGGCAAAGAGTGTACTCATCTGGATCTGGAGTGAATTAAATATGCTTAGTTTGTGTTTGTAGACTAAGAACTTTAAGAAAGCTTGAATCTGAGGCACTGAGGGGATAAAAGCCTAACTACTATAGGCTATGCTCTACTCTCTGTGCACAGCTTCATTTATATTGGCTTATTTAATCTCCAAAGTATTTCACATACTGAATAAAGAAATTATATTCACCATACCATTAATCGTCATGTATACATGTGTACTATAATTATAAGTAATCACTATGAAGATACAGTTTCTGCATTGGGAATGCTGAACAGATTATTGATTGATCCACCTAGATTAGAGGCTTATCTTTAGCAGTGGCAAAATTCTCAGTGAATTAGAGACAGAAAGTACTAATGATATGCCTCATTCTTTTGTATTATTTTAGTGATTGTAACATGAAAATCCTGTTGTACATAGTAGGAACCTGTATGCTATTTGTAAGCTGATATTGATACTATTATGGAGACAGATTCTCATCTGGTGTACATTGATACCTTATGAGAATCTAGCCTGAGACTTCACAAAAAAAGTGCTATCATAAACAGAATCATGTTGTGTAATTATGCACATGAAGACAAAAATACTTTCTTTTGCATTAAGTTAAGTCAAAGCTGACGTGAAGCTGGAATCAGTATATGTAACAATCAACATTAAACGCAGTATGGATACCAAAGTTAAATACTTATTTTGAAGAACTTCAGTCAGATTTTTATGCCAGTGGTAGCTCTTAAGCTTTTTAGATGGTGGGGATCTCAATAGAAAATTTTCTAATAGACTTCGTCTGTGTTTGCGTGCATATGCATCTGTGCAGAGCAGGTGCAAGAGAACTATGTTGTACCAAACAGAGCACTATCATTATAAAGACAATACTAACAAGGTGAGACTATTTAGCTGTTACATGTTGCAAAGCAGAAAAAAAATGGTCATTGCCTTGTAGAGGTCTTTGTAACGTTCGCCTATGCTCCCATTTTTTTGCTCAGCCCGATTTGCCATGCGACTCTTCCAGTTGTGGGATGGCCAGTGAAATTCACACTGAGGGTTACTGCAATTGAACAAGAACTCTGTAATATGTTTAAGCATTAGAAAAACATTTTTGCAGTCTTGTCTGTTTTAACTTGTGTGGAGAGAGAGAGGAAATTTCGCTGGGTATCCTCAAGCTCTCTTTGTTCTCCTGACCCCTTGGATGAATATCATATTCCTGC